TGTACAAAAAAATTTCGTTCACTATCTTATCCTACCATGCTCTTAAGCTCTTTCCCACTCGTTGGTTTATTTCAAGTAACTAATTCACTACTATCACTCTTACTTGTTTATTTTGTGCTGTTCACTAAGTTTTTTCTCCCCTTCTTTACACGTGTCAAGTGAAGACTCAACTACCTTACTTCTCATCGAGTAACAATTTTCACTTTAATGAGTTCCGAACCCTTACTATTACGTAATATCGCCGAAATGAATGAAATCGCCGAAAAGATATCTTTGCTGAACTTTTTGTTCTTTTCAATCTAATATTACGTAATAACCTATCTTTAGAAGCCATTTTTTGAGTGAGTGCATCAATTTCATCGCTCACCGTCAATTATCTAATAATAGACTACTATATGCTCTTGGTATATATAAGTAAGGTTGTACAGCCTTCTGAAATGATTTCGTCAATAAAGAAAAAATTTTTTCGCTGAATTATTTTTTATTTCCTTCATAATAGCCATCATGACTTTTATAACAAATTCATACGTCATCGTTAAATAAACTATTATTATTAAGACCGTCCCACTTACATGCTTGATCACGGATTGATGCCAGTCAGAGAACCAATGAAATCCAGGGAGTACTGGAAAGCCTCCTCGCCCTAGTTTGGGGCTCTCCAGTATTATACACCCACTGGGGTTCAAGTCCAGGCTAACAAGGCGAGCTCGTATCCGTAGGCGTTGGGATTCAAAGCCCATTGAAATGGGTCCCAGTGGCTGAATGGTCTACGAGCTCGCCTTGTAACCGAGAGGTCCTAGGCTCGAACTCCGGTGGATGCATACTGATAAAGAGTCTCAAACTGGGGTGAAAGATCTCCAACACTCCATGGTTTCTGACGGTCCTCTAACTGATATCAGTATCTAATCAAACTAGAAGCCAATCAAACCCCTACAAACTGACTTTCCAAAACTATCTTAGTCAGCCTAATGAAGAATTCGGTCATTGATAATTCACTAGGATTACACCTGGAATAAGAAAAAAGGATAAAGTAATTGGTGTGTTGCTGGGAGACAAAACTCTGCGTATGTATTACTGATCCAATGGCCCGTCCAGAAGAGTATCACATTGGTGACTCACAAGTAGCTGTTTAGTTTGACTTAACATTTTGCTCATTATCCCTATTCAGTGAAAAGAGCTTAGCGAAATGAGATAACCTTGAATAGCTTTATCATTACCACAACTAACTGTTTTATAATACTAAAATACTTACGAAGAACTGCACAAAATTTTGTTTTTCTTTAATTATATACTGGAAAACTTGTCTAATATTACAAATGAAACTATTTTTTGCAATCATCAAAACGTGCTGATGTATTTTAATAAACTGATAAGATATTAGCTATCCCTGATTTAAGATATTTACTCTTAGTTTGTGAAGTTTTTCGACGAAGTGAATATATCACTGTATGCACAACAAAATTTAGATTTTACACTGAAGTCTCTGCAAATACCCTAAAGTAGTTTACAGTCAGTATTGACTGAAAGTAGAATGTCAACACAGATGGTTAGAGGATTCGAATCAGTGGCCTTCAAGCTACGTATTTGTAAATCACTGGTTCAAGTGTTTATTTCACATTCATTCAAAATGGATTACCTCTATGACAGGTTGCAAAACAACAGTTATCTCAGATAGTCTTAATAGCCAGTACTGAAATGCATCAGTGATATTAACTTAAGCTTCAAGTGTTGGTTTGCAGGGGTTCGATCGTTTTCATTGTACACTGCATCACTAAGTAAAATCACTTTAAGAACCATAGAAAAGCAAGGGTTACTAGAAATCTGCCTCTCTCTAGTTTGAGACTCCTCCACAGTACTCCCTCAAGGACCTGTCAAAGATCGATCTTCGGGTTTTCATAGTTCTACAATCGAAGCCAGTTTGTGTTAAAAACTGATCGTTAAAATCAGTCAAATACCTACAAATCAACACTTGAGAATTAATCCCCTACATATTGGTGAGTGAATGCTGTAGTTCTAAGGAGAAGTTGTAACTGATGGTATTCCACTAAGTCGGATATGAAAACAGATATTCGATTGTGATAGTGGATAGAAGTGGCATTATATATCACAAATTGGCAAGAATCAAATTTCATGAGCAGTCGGTGTCTGATCTAATGACCCAATTTTAAACTTGTTCACCTCATAATTCGGAAGTCTTAGAATTCATCCTTGGTGGGAAGGACAAAGTAGCTAACCATTATTCCTAATTTTCAGTAGTTACTCATTAAACGTCAGCTCATCATGGAGTCCTTATTGAAATAATAGCTTGACTATTAAAATTAAAAACAAAATTATCAAGATAAACAAAACAGGAAGTCGGGTGTGAGGAAAAATACTCTCCACTGATGAAGTTGGCTAGTAGTCGTGCTGTATCGTGATTTGAGAGAAGTTGGAATTCTCGGGTTATTGGGTAAGGTCACAGTGGCTTAATTAATGGTCTACGAGCTCGCCTTGTAACCGGAAGGTCCTGGTTCGAACCATGTTGGTGGGTGTGTACTGCTAAAGATTCCCCAACTAGGCTGACGGAAGAGATGTTCAGTACTCCCAGGTTTTCCAATGGTTCTCTAACTGATGTCAGCTCATGATTAAATCCTGTAACCAATCGGATCCCCGCAAACCAATACCTGAAAACAACTGAATTAGACAAATACTAAAGAGAAATGAAATAAAAAAGTAGCTACTAATCTGATTCATTTCATTTGAAAGACAGTCATATTAACTCAAGGTGAGCAATAGCTTAGCTAGTGCTTGATATTGATTCTTAGGGTTACTGATTATCATGCAGAGCAGAGGAGATAAAACTTGATTTCTTAATCAAACTTCATGTGTAAAACCAATAATAATTGACTAGTTAAATTATTGAGTTTTGGAATTAATTCTACAACAGGAGCTTAATTATCTTAAGGAACAGTGTTGAATATATCGTGGTTACGTGTTCATCTTAATATGTTTCCGACAGAGTTAAGCTTTAGACACTTAACAGGTGCAAACGTACCAATGACTCTGGAACGCTCAGCCAGATCAAGTCAGTGAAACCATATAAACAACACTCTTTTCATTAAAAAAACGTTAAGTGAAGTGTGATGAGTGTAACAGGGTAGCTGGTTAGTTTTAGCTTAGTCAGAGATTAGAATTAGATTTGAACTAAGGACAGGTCAGGGCTAGGTTAATCTAATTAGGAAGACATTATGGGTCTTTATGGATATATAAGCTTTAGGGTTGAGTCAAGAGACCAGATTTACACCTTCAGTACAATCGATGTTTCCAAGTGCATTGGTTCATTCCAGCCTGTTGGACTGATTATTATTATTTTATTCCTTTACGTTCCCAGTGGAACATAGGGCTTCAAGCTAGGGACTTGAAGTTTTGGTGGCAGTGGTATTTATTTTTGCGGGATGGGGCTGCTAGCCTCATGCCCAACCTTCCCTCTTTACTAGTCTTATTACTAGCTTAGCGAGGTAAAAGGGTGCGTCGGCCGGGAATCGAACCCCGCACCACCTGAGTGGTCGTCGAACATTTTACCGCTGTTACAATTGATATGATTATGAACAATAAATTTTGTTCGAAACGTCATCCAGTAAATAATACTGTTTCACTGTATGATACATCTAATAAACAAACTCATATGGAATTTTACCGCTGTGCCACAGATGCATAGAAGCGCTTTGCTCGATGCCTCACCGAGACCCGAACTGGAGTCGGTGGATTCAGAGTTCAGAGTGCTAAGCGTTACACCATCAGGCCTCCGTTGGATTGAGCTCTGACACATTTCCCTAGCATTAAGCGTTCAGTACAACTGAATTCAAGAGCTACATGTGTCTCTTCATCGATGACGGCCAACACTTGAAGACTATGTAGAGATGATCGATTAAACCCCGTTAATCAGTCAGTATATCACATACAGTCCAGCTGCACTATTCCGAATAATTTATTGGTGACGTCTTGGACTAAATGAAATTCTTAGGGATGCTTGTTTAAGTCTCTGAGAATACATTATTTCCCTTGAGTTTGTAAATCAGCCGTACTGGTGAACAGTTAACTGACACCAGTCATACTGCAACAGCACATCTACAGTTCATCCTGTTCTCTGAAGGTGTCTTTAGATGGCTCAAGGATTGTCCATGAGCTTTCATTTACTACTCCTCATTCGATCTCCTCCATGTCACCCTCAGACCCAGGTCCAACTGATTGTTTCCCATTCAGGTTTTAGCAGAGGGTCTGCCTGGTAGGAGATATCAAGCAACGGTCTCCTTGGCATGTATCTGATCCGGCTTCATTTTCTTCAGCATATTTGTTGAGTGATGAGTTGTTGATTGGTTCGTTCTCAGAATCACTTGCTGCTAATCCATCCCAGCCGGCCATCTGATCTTCAGTTTAGCGCTACAGAAGAAGGCAGCTGTTCATGAAAGTCTGAAACGTGTTAGAAATGCTTAGTGTGATATGCAAACGAAGTGTCTGAACCCTATAGAAGTAGTGTATGGTAGATATTAATAGAAATAATATTTCTAATGAGTTTTCTTATTCGTCCTTGAGTAATTCACTTCGTTTGGACTTAATATTCACTTAAAGTGTATCCCATTCATAAATTTCATGAAATGTTAGCTTGAGATCGTGAAGGTATTTATGTACTCTGATTAGTCATTCTTTTTGTTGAAAAAGATAAATAAAACTGCTGCCAATCCAGCCCGTTTGATTAGTATCATTTAATGATAATGATGATGATTGAATGAGAATTGATTTCGCCTTGAAAATTATTATTATATCAAAGAAATCAATATTAGTATTACACATATACACATAATAATTATTACTGATCATTTATGATTACTACTGTTAATATTATGATTATTATTATTATTCTAATTATACTGTGAAGGGGAGATTTTCTCCCCTGCATTCTCATCACTATTACGGTGTGATTCTTTCATTGTTACTATTATTATTGTTATCCTGCACAGAAAATGATGTTTGAGTATACAAGTGATTATTTGGCTAAAAAGTTAAGAGAAAACTGGTTAACACGTAGTTCTGAAGAATCTGTATTCAATGGACAAGAACAAGATGATTCTCTGACTAATTTGAATTGGTTACAGGTAAGTTTACATGTGATTCACTGGTGCAATGCATATTTCTGTAGACAGACTTTATTATTTAGAGATTTCATAGTGATTTTAAGTTAAATTTCATTATGAACAGAAGTCATTTAGGAAACTGCTGACGGATAAATAGTACTAGACAAGATTTTCATCCTACTTTAAGACTCTTAGACAAAATGCTATTTATAACACCACCAGGGTTCGAACCCAGTGACTGAATGCTAACATGCTCATCACTTTTGAGGGGATAATAGATGCGTATTGCTGAAAAGTCCGCTAATAGGATACACTACTTTTCTAGTATTCCATTAGTTTAAGTAGTCTTTTAACTGATGTCAGTGTGTGATGGAATTAATCTTCAAGTCAACCCCTCTTTGTACAAACTAATCCTTGAAATATGTCATGATTCTTGGGGAAGGTAAAATATTCATTTTTATTGGCATCAAAAGTATGGAGTGTTACAATATCAGTTGTCATGAAACTAGTAGATTTCAACCAGCTAAATAAACTACTGTCAGTTTCGCTATATGTAACGGCGACTTCCTCAAAAGCAGTTCAAGTAAATCAAAAGATTATTTTACTTACATCGGAGATTTGATGGGAAGTATTGTGTACTTCACTTCAGGTTTGTTAAAGGTCTGAAAACCAGTGATGCATCTATCTATCTATATATATATATTCACCATTTATCCTCGTCTTCAAATTATCGGACATCATGTTACGACATACTATGCTGTGGTGATTTCAACAGAACACACCAGATGTGTTCAATGTTTCAACACTTTTTGAACTGCATCTCTACCTTCCATTGACTGCAGGATCTGTGACGTCACACCTAACTACTACTAATACTTTTGTTTTAATCCTCAGTAATTATATGCAGTTCGGTTGTGGGATTACAGTTTTATATTCCAAAATACTCAGCTTTTCAGTTTATATTTTACCTTTGAACAGATAGAAGCTAAGAGATCTGTTGATAGCTAGATAGTACAAGACAACCCAGTGCTCATTCATGAAACCACCAGGGATCTTACCGACCGGTTGAACGGTATCGCACTTAACTCCTAATTTGCCTATCCCAGTTATAATTGAAAGGTCACAAAACTAGAGGGAAACAGCTGTCTAGTACTCCTTCATTTTCAGTGGTTCCCCAACTGATATCAATCCGTGGTCAAACATGAAAAACAAATCTAATCCTTACAAATCAACTCTTGAAAATTAATCTGATGCTCGCTAGTGACTTGCTACAGGACGGAGTTTCCTGGAGTTCTAGTGAGAAGTCGTGACCAGTGAAGTCCATCCAGTCAGGAGTAAGGATGGAGTTCCCGCCAATGACATTGGTTGGTGGTCGGTCTAAATCACGAATTGGTAGAAGTTAGAATTCACTGAAACGAGTCCTAGTGGCTGAATGGTATACGAGCTTGCCTTGTAACCGAAAGGTCGTAGCTTCGAAACCTATTGGTGGGTGCGTACTGCTGATGATTCCCAAACTAGAATGAAACAGCTGTCTAGTACTCCCTGGCTTTCAGTGGTTCTCTAACTGATGTCAACTCGTGATCAAGCCTGTAGCCAATCAAATCCCTGCAAACCAACACTTTACAAATAAGAAGGTGTTTCATTTTTATTTTGCAGATAGATTTGGTTCAAGGATGGGAAATGTAAAGTATATTTTGGTATATTAAACTGAGAAAAAAGGAAATCACCAAGCAGCACTAATTATTGTAGAGTTGATACACCACTCAGAAAAATGAAACAACCCCAGCGTTATTCCGCATTTGTAATGACAGCTTGGGTTAGGTTGCATACAACGTTTTTAAGGGGTAATATACTGAACAATAAAAGTAGGTGATGCGGCTTATTACCGCTTCTCTAAGATATTAGAGGAATTTTCTTGGTTTTAGCTGAAATATTCACCCTTTACTTTCTTCACATAGTCGAAAATCTTGTTACAACATGCCCAATTATGTCCTTTTGACCCATCAAATCAAAATGAAATTCTTTTAATTGGCATAACAATTGATCTTATTTTCGTAACGATAGCTGACTATCATTTAGCTGAATGAAGGAGAGATCAGCGTGGTGATGACTCCAAGGAGATTTCTTTCGTCTCTTATCTAAATGACTCATATGCATAACTAATAAGTTTATGCACTGCATTGCATATTTATTCTGTAATCTAATCCCACTTCACATGATATTGTGCTTGAAACAGAGACAGTTGCTGAAGAGCTCCAGGTGAATATTCGTGTCTATAACGAATTTCACTACTACTTGTCGTATTACCCCATATAACCAGTGAAGACACATATGGAAAAATTCTCCAATATTCTCACATTTTACTTTCAACGGCCACCTCTTGTAGGCATAATGTTATACAGAAACAACACGCCAGTCGTTTGGTGAGTGACCGAGTATCATGCTTGTAATAAAAATGTTCACTACGGATAATGCAACTTTAAAAACAGGTAAATTGTTCATTACCCGTTCCTGAGCTAGGAGTCTCTATAGATCAGTCATAGACAACTGCTTTAAATTCGGTTAGACAGGACTGCGTAACAAACGTAAGGAGATTATAGCTAAGGAAGCGCCCTATTTTTCCAACTTCTCCAAGTAATTGGGCTACATCATATGAAATCTGAGTCAGTCAGGAATTCTCTTATTTGCACGTCAATTATTGAAAGGCAGAAATAATAACAGAATATGGACCATGACACCGGGTGTCCCAGAGTGGCATTACTGTAACCAACATGGCATATTATACCTGAGCTAGCCTTAGTTTCTACAGTGTTATTGAATCTTGAGTCTCAGATGCCATGTTACTTAGGCTGATTCTTTATGCTTATTGTATTTACTGGGATGATCAATAATCTATAGTACTCCGATTGCAATGTCTCTGATTCTTAGTTGATACCCTCTTTAATATGATACAGAAACTGATAGGACCCGGAATAAAATAGTATGTCATTCTTTCTCACGAATCGTGTGATTTATCTTGTGACGGAGTTACTATGTTCATCTATCATTTCTCACGCATATTGTGACTTAGTGTGTGACCAATTCATCTCCTTCTGTCTAACCTGGATCTTTGTCGAATCATCAACGAATCAGGATAGATATTCCCAGCCAATAAGAATAATCCATTCTCAAGGCTGTGAGCCGGCTTTATCATGGTAAAGAAAATGTATAAACATAATGTATTGTTTCCTAATAAATGTACAACACAATATCTTACAGTCACAGCCCAGTCTTTGTCTTTTTGTATTTGCGTGGCTCAGTGAATCGGAAGGTACAACCGACAAATAGGGATATTACCGTATCAGCCGAGTTAATTATCCTTATAACAATTAGCAGCGCAATTATAACAAAGTGGTGACGGATTTATTAAGTTCAGTACAGTCATAACACCTCTGGAATCATAACGTCAGGTTTTTTTGTTTCATCTCATTCTAGATTGAGGATAGCTTTTTCCAAACTAAGCTAAAGTTAGACAACTGATTTCTACATAACATGTAGCCTGACGTAAGATAGTGGACGATTGTTATGCAGCTTTACACTGACTGAATCACTACTAAAAATGTTTTTTTCATAATTCCAGCTGTCTTTTCTAGGAAACTGTTGAAGATACATTCTTCTTCACAGAGACCATTTCACATATGTTAAGCCTTCGTGGACCCATTCCTCTAATAAACCTCAGTGGTTGACGGCTATCATCTTGTGTCGACTTTTTCTGTCTCTCATCAGCCGTATTTGTTCGCGGGCTTTGCAAATGGTTTTAATACTTTGCGTTTGAAGTTTTTAGTTCATCTTTTTGTCAGAAGTCTATGAGGACCAACCACTTCTCATCGGTCAGCTTGGAATGTAGTATGACCAAAATCAGAATAAATGTAGCCTACAGTAATATCACTCATGGGATCTACAGAAATGGGAAAATCACATAAATGGGTATCAAAAGACTGATTAGTAGTGGATAAAGAATATTCTTTTCGATTGGGTTCAACAATTATATATCCATACTCCTTAAAGAACAATCACAATCGACAAAATTGATGTTCGTCTTCAAATTCTGTTTTTCCCGTTGATTGGGTGGACCGAAATATTCCACTTCTATTGACATATCACCTCCTGAATTTCACTGCTAGTCACTATCCAACAAAGTAACGTAAATGTCAACTCCCAGATATCGTTGAAACGTCTGTATTAAGAGCCAAAATGTCAACAGAAGGCAAATATTTTGGCCCAATTAATCAATGGGAAAAACAGGAAATAATATAATAATTTATCCACAATACACAAGAAGTGGCTCTCGTGGCCCAAGTGGTATAGGGGAAACGTTTGGTACTGGATTTGAGTTTCACTACGAACACCATCACTCCTTGGAGAATGCAGGTACATCCAGCCTACGAGTCCCAAATATGAAGAAATACACATCCTGGATTCTACTGTTAGTCACCATCTACCAGATAAAATTGATGACTTCTTGTTAAATAGCATCGATTGAACGACATGTGAATTCCAAGAGATATATGCAAAAGGATTACAGTTCGGAACATGTGTGTGTATGTGACAAAATGCATAAATGTAACACTAAATTGAACATCAAATTTGATCATGAAGAAAAACGAATATATAATAGTAATGAATGCCCATGACTAGTGTTCAGATTGAATTTTATTAATTTAAAGGTTCATATGAATGTATGAAAGTATCAAAAACAGGCAGAGAAACTGGTGTAGATGTTTAGGTATATGAGTGAGTCAACATTTGTTCGTCATTGAAATACCCAATTTGACTCAGTTCGGAGAACTAGATAACTGCAAAACCAGTTGGAATTGCAAATCGTGAATTAATTAGTGAATTTGACCCAAGTGGCTAGCTAGTTATAATTCAGTTCTCTGAACTAAATCACACTGAGTACACCAAAGATGAACTCAACCATATACGAACGAAACACCCATTTGTTATTTAGATCACTTTAATTTGTCAAGAAAGCTTTACTG